GTTCTGAAGCTCGCCGTTGCCTCTCCACAGCAGGGCCGTTAGTTGTTTCTTTAGTGATCTGACGACCTCCTTACTGAGGGCCCAGATTGCAGATTTATACCAAAGGGCCGTCAGCACTACACTGTTGATCGTCAACACCCTGCCTATAAGGGAGGTGTGTTGGTCTTTCCAGCGAGCCAGTTTCTCTAGGGCGGGCTTAAGGATCCATTCGTCATTTGATGCGGGCTTTCCTAAAGCCGTCAACATAATTCCTAGCACTCTAACTGGGGCCGTTTCCGGAAGTCATTTCACTTGTGGCGACTCTGGGGGGCGCACCCCTTGATGGTGGATCCATCATCCCAAGGTTTTGCTTCCGCAATTGACGGTCATGTCTGAGACCATTGTAAATTGGTCGAAGAGCCGCTTAATTTCTTCCATGTTTGTTGCAGTGGTGTCAATCACGAGGGTTAGGTCATCCGCGAACAACGAGCAAACAAGGATCGCGTCATCTGGGATGTTCGAGATCTGCAACTTCTTCAGGTCTTTGTTAGCGCGAAGGTTTGCTGCCAGCGCCTCCATTACTATTATAAAGAGGAAAGGGGTCAGAGAGTCCCCTAGGCGGACTGACCGTTGCAGCTGGAAGGATGGTGCAATTCTACCATTAACCTCGACACTCGTTGCAACATTTTTATGGAGTATACCAGTCCAGTGCCGGAAGTCTGGTCCGATGTTCATTTTCTCCATACATTTGTCCAAAAAAAGTCAATCCACATGGTCATACGTTTTTTTTTTAAAAGTCGATGAAGACTATGGTGACATTTCGCTTGTCTTGCCTTGTTAGTGTAAGAATCTCATTGACTAACAGGATATTATCCTGGATCATGCGTCCTTTGACAAACTCGGTCTGCGTCGGGTGAATAATGTCATCCAAGACCGGAATTAGACGATTTGTCAGAGCTTTTGCAAGCATTTTGTAAACGACTGTGAGCAAAGTTATCGGGCGGTAATTCCTGATATCCATCTTGTCCCCTTTTTTACGTAACAAGGTCAGAACGCCTTGTCCTACCAACTCCCCCATCCGTCTTGTTTCCCACACCTGATGATAAAAATTCATAAGGTCCGAAGCCATCAAGGCCCAGAAAGCCTCCCAAAATTCTTTAGGAAACCCATTTATACCTGGCGTTTTCTCTTCATCCATCTGCATCATCGTCGTTCAGATTTCCTCCTTGGATAGGGGGCGATCTAGGTCTGTTTTCTGCTGGCTCATCATGGTCTTCCCCAATGGTTACAAAATCTCCTCTATTTCCTTCTCCCTAACGTTCTTCTCCCGCTGGGTACACCTTGAGGTGAACAAGTCTTTAAAAAAGGATCTAGCTATCTGCGTGCAGTGGGGGGAGGAGGTGACAATGTCCCGGTGTCCAGACCGCGGGTCGTATAGTGCTTCTATGGTTGTTCTGCGTGAACGGACTCGGGCTATACTAAAGAATTTTTTATCCATTGTTCCTTCTGTTTGGAATTTCGTAAGTCTTGCTCTTATGCGTGTACCCTCCCACCTTTGTGTGGCAAAGGACTGGAGTTGTTGTTGCAGCCTTTGTGCCTCGGACTCCTCGTTGCAATTTTTGATGGATTTCCATCTCCTGTTGGTGTTTGCTCCCTATCTTGTCGTTTCCCGCGGTGGAAAATTCGAAATTTCCTTCGCGCGCTTACTGGACCATGTCCCCTCTTGGCGAGGCTTTCTTTTAGAAGCAACTTGGGATTCGAACTAAAGGGTTCCTTCGGCAATTTCAAACAACCGTATCGATAGCAATTCCTAGGCCTTATTCATTCCTCAAAAACCTAGATGCGTCGTTCGGGTGCCTCAGGCATGCTTTATTCTGGCCTCTGCTTTCTCGTTCTGTGTTTTAATCGTTCAAGGGTTCGATCCAACCCGACAACTGTTGTTTGTCGTTTTCAGGCCTTATAGGCTTTTAGCAGAAGGGTCAGAAAAACAGTAGTGTAAACGTCAATCGTCAAAACAAAAAAAAGGGGGATAAAGGGGGAAAAAAGAAAAAAGAAAAAGAGGAGAAAGAAAAAAGGAAAAGAAGGACGAAAAAGAAAAGGAAGAAAGGGAAAGAAAAGAAAAAAAAAAAGAAAAAAAGAAAAAAAGAAAAAAGAAAAAGAAAAAAGAAAAAAGAAAAAAGAAAAAAGAAAAAGAAAAAAGAAAAAAGAAAAAAGAAAAAGAAAAAAAAGAAGAAAAAAAAAAAGAAGAAAAGAAGAAAAGAAAAAAGAAAAGAAGAACTCGATCTTCGATCGAATCGTTATGAGAGAAACGCTGTCGTAGGCGTGAGTTCGAGCATGGGTGTAGAAGGACTCATGTACTCATGCTGCAGGTTTCTCGCCGTGTTTCTCCTGGAGATTCCTCCGAGTCCTCCTGTAGGGGGCTTCTCCATTTCTTTTTATCGTTTTTTCTCGCCCTCATGTTTCTGCGTGTGTGTGTGTGTGTGTGTGTGTGTGTGTGTGTGTGTGTGTGTGTGTGTGTGTTACATGCTGAGCCTGCACACGGGCCCCATTTCAGGGGCCCAATGGTTGCTGAGAGGCCCCCAGGCCGCGTGCCCTTCAGGCGAGCGCTCTGGAGACCCACAGCGGCCCTTAGGCCACAGGTTTCGATTCCAGGCACCATTCATTTATTTATTTATTTGTGTGCTGTCCTATTTTTGTCTGTTCAGACGTCGTTTCGGACTTGCCGTCCCCAAGGCCACGCCTTGGCTGGGTACACCAGGAGGCAGGGCCCTTTGAGGCCAGGTTCGGGTTCGCGCCCTGCTGCATCAGCAGGACGGTCTGGACGCCCGGTAGTGACCCAGACCGTGTGGGCCGTTTTCAGGCCAAAGCGATGGCCCACCGGCGGGGCCCAGCGCGATACATAGCTGGGCCAGGCCAGGGCTCAGGGACAGTTGGAGTAGCTCACTTCTGGAGCGACACGCTGCTGGAGGAGCGCTGCGACCCTACAGCGTTACGTGAGGAGGTAGAGGTAGAGGTGTACGTAGGCAGAGGGGTGGAGGCCATACCTGCATCGGCGGTACTTAATGGGGCGCCATAGCTGCGCTCCACGCCAGCGACCTGCACAGGGACCACGACGACAGTCAGTACGGCGGCAGTTACCTGCAGGTGAGACAGCGAGGAGGACGACATCTTCTTCTTCTTCGTTGTCTCGCCCTCCATCTCTTCTCCCTCCTTTCTCCGTCTTCTTCTTCTTCTTCAGAGAGAGAGAGAGAGACAGAGGTTACTGGCTGAGGTGACATCGGGCATTGTGCCCAGGATCTGATCCAACATTTTTGTGGCAGACATTGATTGGACATTCGGCAGGGGACTATTTTTGGACTTATATCGCGATCTTGGTCGTCTCCCTCGCCTCTACCTTCGTCTCGCCCCTCCCCCCATCCCTCATCCGTGGTATCTCCCCCATGTGTGTGTGCAAGGAGGGACCTTTCTTCTGTGTATGCGGTCCCTCCTCCCTCTCTCACAAGTGTGGTGTATGATGGGGTGTTGCGTCAGTATCCGACAGATCAGGTCATATCTTTGAGTCTTCCGCTGCGCTACATTGTGCTATTTTTGTATGTATCTGGATGTACATTGCTTGTTGATGCTTTGCTGACATTGCATTGTCCATTCGAGTCCTTTTCATCACTTTGCGGATCCTTGGCTCCATATACATTGCCCAACTGGGCATGTATCACTCTCTCTCTCTCTCTCTCTCTCTCTCTCTCTCTCTCTCTCTCTCTCTCTCTCTCTCTCTCTCTCTCTCTCTCTCTCTCTCTCTCTCTCTCTCTCTCTCAATTTGGCAGCATGATAGTTTTGATATCAGCTGTCCCATTCCCCCACGTCATGCAAATAGCCCTGGGCATTTCACAAAGCTGCCCACCACGTAGGGGTGTGACCTTGTCGTATGGGGTGCAGTCCAGAATGCAAATTTCTGCACCCGCCTGACAGGGGCATATCACAAACATTTTTGGCCAAGAGGGCATTCCGCTCGACCCACGTGTTTAAGGACACTTTAGCATATGTCTGATCTTGGGGGGTATCCCGTTTCTTTTTTGCTTTTTTTTTTTAATACAAAAATTGCCAAATTGGACCATTTCCCGATTTATGTGTGTCATCCTTGTGCAGGTGCCGTGCTAATCTTCTCTGTATCGTTCCAATTTTAACGGCTGTCTCGAAGGACATCCCGTTTCTTTTTTATTTCTTTTTCAGAATCAATATCAGCTCCGTTCCATTCCTTTGTCTAGGGGATAAAGTTTTGATGTTCAAGCATTTCTTCACTCAGCCCATCTAGCTGGATGCTACACACATGAAACTGTAAGCAAAAAGACAGAACATGAGTTTGAATCCTGATGAAATCAGATCAATGCACTAATTTTAGGGGCTAACCCCCTCTTTTCAAAGAGAGGTAACCCCTTCTTTCCCATTATCTTTTACATCTTCTTGTCATTTCACCTCTCCCAGACTACTACCGTCTTCACCCGAAGAGAACGCCTGGTCATTATGGCGATATCTAGTCTGAAAGTTGCACCAAATACAGTCATAATGATCACGCATTTTATTCGGGGGAAGAAGGTAGTACCAACTTATCCAAAGCAGTTCACATGGACATCATGGATGCACTGAATTTGGTAGATGTCATGTCACATACACTTCTAAGTCCCGTGCATTCTGCATGCTGGAAGATGGTAACAGTCCCTTTCCTCCCCCGCCAAACTTTCAACCATTTCTCGATGTTTGCATGTCATCCTTAAACAATTCTAACTGTTTAATGGATGTCCCTAGGGACATGGTAGCAGACCTCATAACTGCAAGGAACACACAAGATGAGAGGTGCACATACTTTCTTATTCCTTTGATTTATGTAACTTGGACCATTTTTAACATAATTTGGACCATTTCTCAGTTTGCGGATGTCGTCCTTGTCAAGCAAGGGCCATGTTAACCTTCTCGGTACTGTTCCGACTTTAACGGACATCTCGGAGTACAGATGTCTACATACGTACCCAAGATAGCAGCACATAATTGCAATGCCCCAGATTGTACTGTCAGAGGTCCATTGCTTCATCCCGACAGCCATATTGTCCTACAATTACAAATGGGAAAGAACCTGTCATGGAGGAAAAGAAAGCAGGGCATGAACATGCGGACGAGGCAAGTGCGAATGAACTAAGTGGCCAAAGAAATTGGAAAGGACTTCAAATTGGAGACTACCAACTTCACCCCAATGGAACGCCAGCTCACAAAAGCTGTATTTGGAGGAACTTCCAGTCTAGGTACAGGGATAATGATCGAGCGTTGTATTTGGGAGAAGACGGTAGACATTATGCGAGGTCGACACCATGATACAATCAAGAAATGAGAAGCTCGATGCCCAACACAGAAAGCCATGCTATCACAAGGAGGGGGGGAAGCCTTAGAAACTGTTAAAGAAGCAAGCTGCACAGACCAACACCACAATAAGTCCGGCACAACCAATTACAAAAGCTAAATGATTTAAAATCATAAATAAAATAAAGGAGAGGTAAAAAAAGAGGTTCCAACACACAGCAACAGAGTCATTCAACAGATGGCCTTTGTCGTCGTTATTCTCTCCTGCCATGTCCACTGTATGTTTAGGCTGGTTCTCTTTTTCTTAAACAGGAGAAAAAACAGTGCTGACCCAAATCAACACTGACCCATTGAACCATACGGTCTTTGACATAACTGTATTCTGAATTTGCGTATCATCATGCCCACTCCATATTCGTATCCACTGCTACACTGCATTATTTATGTCAGATTTCCATGCAACCCCTCTGTTGCTCTATTGCTGCAGTCAACCTTGCAGCTCTTTACGACTTTGCAACTTTGCACTGGTCAGTGGTCATACCAAAGAGAGTGGATAATAGTCTGGATTCCACAGCCCATCCTAGAATGGAAGAAGCAGCTGTCTGATTTGGGAAAAAAATAGAGTAGGGGAGCAGGGAGGAGGGGAGGGGAAGCGGTGTTAGTGCTGGTGCTCACGTTCCTGTTCCTGTTCCTCTTCGTGTTCGAGTTCATGTTCGAGTTTGTGTTCATGTTTGTGTTCGTGTTCGTGTTCATGTTCGTGTTCGTGTTCGTGTTCGTTTTTGTGTTCGTGTCAGGTGTTCGTATTGGTGTTTCTGTTGCTGCTGTTGTTGTTGCTGTTGCTGTTGCTGTTGCTCCTGTTCCTGTTCGTGTCCAAGTTCGTGTCCGTGTTCGTGTTCGTGTTCGTGTTCGTGTTCGTGTTCGTGTTCATGCTCGTGTTCGTGTTCGTGTTTGTGTTTGTGTTTGTGTTCGTGTTCGTGTTCATGTTTGTGTTTGTGTTTGTGTTCGTGTTCGTGTTCGCGTTCGCGTTCATGTTTGTGTCCGTGTCAAGTGTTCGTATTGGTGTTGCTGTTGCTGTTGCTGTTGCTGTTGCTGTTGCTGTTGCTGTTGCCGTTGCCGTTGCTGTTGCTGTTGCTGTTCCCACTGGTGTTGGTGTGGGTGTGGGTGTGGGTGTGGGTGTGGGTGTGGGTGTGGGTGTGGGTGTGGGTGTGGGTGTGGGTGTGGGTGTGGGTGTGGGTGTGGGTGTGGGTCTTGGTCTTGGTCTTGGTCTTGGTCTTGGAGGGGAAGATGTAGGCTTATGGCAATAACCACATCCCATTATAGGGGACACCACCCAGGATAATGTTTTAGGGCAAAAAAGCTTGATATCAAGAACCATGATGCAAGCAGCCGTCTACATTCTGAACTCCATTTTTGTGTGAACTCAGACCAAATCTAAGAATGGAATGTATGGACGAATTGTTCTTTGCATTTCCCCAACCTCCTTTATGCCAAGGTTGACCACTCTCAATTTAATGCGTTTAATTGACCATGCTCGTTTGAATACATTCCACCCAACACACACACACACACACACACACACACACACACACACACACACAACTAAACACATTGTTCTATGGATGGTTTATGATGATTTGTGGATGGAATGGGAGAGTATTCAGGGGGTTTTAGAAAACACATATTCCGGCCTTGCTAGCTCTCTGTTCTTGCAGATTTGAGCGGTTAGGATCGGGCTTGTACTAGCGAGCTATTCTTTTTTTGTTGTTGCATACGTCTTGTTGTTTTGTTTATTATACATGGCCTAATTCTTTGCCCTTTGAATGGGTTCACGCTGCAAGCTTTCCCAGTCCCGGTTCCAGGGTCCTGAATTGTCCCAGTTCCAGGCCCCGATAGATTAGAGTCTTCGGGCCTGTAGGATCAGGCATCGCAGGCCGGGAGGATACAGTACCTTACAGTACCTGTAGGAGCACGTCAAGTCCCCAGAAGTCCAATTTTGCAGCAGCCTCACAAGAAAGTCGGGAACTTTCCCAAAATAGCAATTTGGCAAGGCAGAGGCCGAAGGAGGCCGGTACCGATTGACGCAGGCACAAGCAGCCCACTGCAACTATATATATTGGGCTACAGTGTCGGAAGGCAGTCAGTTATTCATTTTGCAAAATGGCCCCGGCTGCTACAGGCGACCATAGCCAGGCGAGACGGAGGAAGACCATCGCCGGCCATAGCCGCCCAAGCCTGGCAAGGCACGCCGGAGAGGCATTCAGGGTAGATCTAGGACATTGAGGTATGAGGAACAGTAGCAGAGAGCATCGAGGGATGAATAGTGCAACTAGCAGGAGAGAGAGAGAGAGAGAGAGAGAGCTGTCTCTTATACACATCTAGATGTGTATAAGAGA